TATGAGCAATAACTTGGGAAATGATGGGTGGTCGTGCAGCTCTGACGAGTGGCAAATTCATCTGCACGGGCCGCGAGTCACGGAATGGAGGCTCGGCCGATACATCGAGTATCTCTTCTGCGAAACTGACGAGCAGGCAAAGTTTTTGCGTGGAAAAATGCGGCCAGACATCGAGAAATATGTGGGGAAGGAGGCAAAGGGGTGCACGGCTTCAATGATCAAGGCAAAGATGAACGCAATGGGATGCCTTGCCAGATGCGAGGCGAGGCTCTACGGCTTCTCCATCACACTGACCAAGGACTGGATCAAGGATGCTCGGGATTATTTCAAAGTCAAGCTGAAGGATCTGAACGACGAGCAAGTCGCGTGAGTAACATATACGTGTGCTTTCTGTTTGTGTGAATGTTGTTCTACATGGTTTACATAATTACTATGCTATTCTATGCAGGGATGGTTGAGATCAAACCCGTGGATCAATTGGTGATTGCTATACGGGAAGCCAGTATAGGACGCTGCATCTTACTGTTCTGCGAAAAGAGCTCCTAGAGATCTGGTGGCGGACGCCTCCGTCACAAATCTCGCTTCCTCTCTGGAAGGCTCTGCAAGTCCCGGTTATGATGCACCTCGGACACCAATTTCTCGGAAGAGGGTGCAGCATTCGAAAGATTCGACTTGGGAACCTGTTTGTCCGCATGACGCGGAGCACATCACACCTCGACGACTATCTGGACGTTTTCGTACTCGTCGTTGTTTCCAGGAAGTCAAAGACCAACCCCAACAACAAGCTGAGTCATCAGTTTCTTGCAAGGCATAGGGACTGGCGGGTCTGCGGAATGGGCCATGTGTTCCTGTGGCTTTATTTCATCTACGACCTCGTTCCTCTGTGCTACGGCCCCGGTATCGTCGAGCCTCTCGACTTTTCTGAACCGCTCTTGTGGACGAAAGCGCACCTCTTCTTTTCTTTGAAGAAGGGCGACCAGAGAAAGCAGAAGCAGGACGAGATGCACTATAAAACGCATAACACCTGGATTAAGTGGGCCATGACGAAGGCGAGATGGATTCTGAGCAAGGTGACACATGCATTCCGCAGATCCGGAGCGCAACAAATCCATGACGACGGTTGCTCCGACAACGATATCGGCACTCTGGGCGGATGGGCGCACGGGGAGTTGCGGAGGTGTTATGTGTTCGGCATTCCGTTCAAGCCGGTTTGGGTGCTGGCAGGATTCAGCGGGGATTGTGGAGACTACTACATCGGCAGAGCCCGCGCCAAGCTTCCGCGGCATAAGGATAAGGAGAAGGATGAGTGGTTGCAGCTCTTGGATCTCTTGAGGCTTCACATTTTCCCCTGGGTCGAAGAGGGTTGGAAGAAGGTACGTGCTAGTGTACAGTCTTTGCGTTCGTAGCTTAATTTTGATACGCAATTATGAACCGTCCCATTTCTCCTGCATACTCGTCCCGTCAGGTCGAAGAATGGAACGCTGCGCAGACCGATCCGCTGAAGAGGCACTATGCGGGGGCGAGGTTCCTTGAGACCCTCGCGAGCATTGGACGCCTCGTTGTTGCACAGGATCTGTCTATGATGTGGGCGTTCTGCCATCAGCACGGCGTGAGAAACCCGCGGTGCAATTGCGAGAGGCATCCATATGTGCAGATGAGCCCCTTGTGCAACCACCCGCTGTTCCAAAAGTGGGCGTACCTGGTCGCTATCTCTCACTTCCAGGGCGAGAAGCTTTGGGCAACCGGCCAAACCACCGCCAAAGCAGTAAGTGCCTGCTATTAGTGGTAGAGAGAAGGAGTTATTCGTTCATGCTGAGTTCTGCCGTGTTGGTTTCTGCAGGACGCTATCTTTCGCACGACCGCAGAAGAGAAGCTGCAGAGGATGCACCTCACCGCCAATATGCTCAGGGAGGAGCTTGGGATTTTGAGAGGACGTGAAATGCAGTTGGCGATGGAGAACGCTGAACTGAGGGAGAAACTCGCCGCTGAGCGAGAGGACAAGGCTCGTGTCATTGCAGAGTTCGAAGCATACAAGAGGTCTGTTGCGGGTAGGGATGACGCGGCAAACACCTCTGCAGAGATCGACGGATCGTCGAAGAGCGCGGGAACAGGAGCAAACCAGGCAACGGACGCATCCAAAGCACCAGTTGCCGTCGAAGAATTCTTCGTCGTGGTCGTTGTGTCTTGGCGCGAAGCCACCACTATTGCTGCTGCCTGGAAAGTGTGGGTGCAGCCAAGCCTCATCATGGGCGGCAGGTCACTGCGCGAAGTCTTTGCAGAGTTCGACCGGTATAAGAAGAAGGACAAGAATTCCAGCTTCATCACCGCATATTCCCGGTTCGCTGTCAAAGGTACGCCCGGGATGGCTGTGGGTGCATGCGAGCGAAAGATGCGTCGCGTGCATCGTGTCATGGTTTCCGTGGAGACGCTAAGAAAAGATAGCTCCGAGGCGGCGACCGCAACGGCCATTAAGCTGCTGGACGAGGTTTTACTCGTGTGCAACTTCACGGAATTCACCAACAGCCTAGCGGTGCTGCATGAGACTCCGACCATCAAGAAACAGAAGACCGGTTCGTCGACGGAAAAGAGGACCGTCAACGACTTGGCGCAACGCAGAGTGGGCTGGCTGTTAGTCAAGAAGGGCCTTCGCGACCAGGAGTGGGCAACTTCGCTCTTTGGGGATGATGAGTGGGAGGAGATCCACAAGGAACACATGGCGCAAGAGAAGGCGGAGGAGAAACAACGAACCGTTGCGGCGAAGAAGGCGGAACGGGAAAAGGCGAAGGGCGAAGCGTCGAAACGCTAGGAGCAAAAATGAGGGGGCATGTACCTTAAGGGTGGGGCGGTTTAGTTATTTGGGTACTTTATTCCGGTTGTACTGAATGTGCACTACAGGCACTTGTCTGTCTCTGTAGAAGCCCGATTTGGGGCTTGTATGCCACCTTCTTCCCTGGACGCGCTGTTTTGCGTAGAATGTTTTTCTGGTCTATGCATTGAAGCACACATGGTGGTATACACCGGGCGAAATTCTGCGGAGTCATGTCCATACGATGTTATTCTATAGAGCGGCGTCGATGAATTCACTCTCACGATTGTAGATGTGTGTTCTTAGGCCACTCGGAAGACTTTTGCGTGGATGTATTCAGTCTCAGCATATGTTTCTGGGCAAAGGAGTGTCATATTCTACGAGTAGCAACGAAGATCCTATCCATGACGGTAGATATTATCCATACGTGGGTTTTTCTGCGGTATAGTGTCGTTTCCAATTTGCCTCCAGAATTTGGCGTCGATGAATTCAATCTCCATAGCAGAAAGGTCTGTGCATAGGAATACCGTATACGTTCTTAACAAGGTGCTCCCTAAGACAAGATGTTATACGATTGTTTAGCCCCATACTTCTACCTCCTCGTAGAAGCCGAGTATTAAACGTAGATTAAGTGTCGTAGTAGGCCGTCCTGTCGTCAATTATTTTATTCGCCTGGCTCTCCCTTTGATGGCGAGTTTTATCGGCTGCATTGCTAGCTCCATACGCGCCCTACAAATTTCGCAAGTGTAGTGAAGGTTTGCATAGCAAAAATACATCTCTCATTGTATTGTATACAACAACACCTATATTTATATACGGTTAAAAAAAACAAAAAGGAAAATCTATTTCTACTGCGGTACTAACAAGACCTCCAAAGAACCCGCCTGCCTCTATCACTCCTGGCCGCCAGTGCCGGTGTTCTCCTCCGTCGACACATCCTTCGTCGCGTTCCCCTTCGCGGACGATTTCTTGGTTTTCTTCTCCTTATCCGCCCCTGTTGTGGTATCCCGGCCGCCCAACTTCTTCTACAGGACTCCGAGGCAGACGCCCTGGTGCTGGCGAAGGCCTCTTGATGCCATGCTGCATAGGCACCAAGAGGTCACCACCTTTGCCACCACCCTCGTCATCCGCTTCGCATCCCCGGCCGCTCGCGACTCTGCCGGAAGCGCTTTCAGCAGCGCATCCGACAGGGGCAGAATCCACGCTTCCTTGTCATGCTCCTGATCCTTTACCGACCTCATCGCCTCAACCGCAACGCAAGCAACCGAGGCTGCAAGCGTCGCAAGGGCATCAAGGACGGCAGAGGACACATCGGCCACAGAAGATGACGAGGCAGCCGACGAGGCGGTGGCAGCAGTGGACGATCTGGCAGCAGAAGATGCTATGGCCGTAGAAGTTCCACGTGCAGCTGTTGTTGCGCCCGTCTCCCACTGGGTCTGGTCCATATTCGTGGATGCGGCCCACATTACAGACAACGTGGCGGCAAGTCCGATTGCGTGTTCTTCCGTCGAATAGTCGTTTTCACCCTCCACGCCTCCCACCATCTTCTGCCACGCAGTTATTTCCGACACCAGCGCAGGCAGCTACTTGAAAGCCATCCCCCTGCTGCTGCCGAAGAGCCGTGTTGGTTTGAACGAGTGAGAATCTGCACAAGACACCAGTGTCGCAAGATCAGAACCATCAAGCTTTGCGGGTGTTTAGAAGTTGCAACTGTCCATCACATAAACACTCACCCGTCCGGTTTGTCCAGGTGGAGTTCGTTGATGACGCTCCACACCCCTGTTGGAAGCCACGTTGTGAAGTCGAGGTCTTCCCGCCACTTGTTAATACGGTTTGGATTCATGCCGTATGATTGCATGTCAATATCCGGGAAGTAGAACTTCCAGCAGACTGCGACCGTGTATGCCCTCTCCCACACCATTTTGTGAGAGCCGAGGTTCCGCTTCCGGCCGCCGACAATCTGCTCAGACGTCCACTTCTGCAAAGCTCCCTCGCCCCGTTGAGAGAACCCGCTTCCCCTGAACGGCAGGCAGACACCCAAAGTCTTACCCTTGTCGTCCACTACGGCGTTTTTCCTGTTGTCACACTTGTCGATCTTCATCCCTTTCTTTTCCCCTGGGATTATCGGTATCAACTCCTGTATACCAGCTGCACGCCGTCTCTTAGCCGAATGACCCTCCGGCTCCCTGTCCTCCTATCTATGCCGCCTCCTGGACACCTCTACATTCTGTACAGGAACACTAGCCACGCCCTCTGCTACATTCGCCTCCCCGCTCTCAATCAACAGCAAACTCCCCAGGCCCTCAGCTATTTCCTCCTCGACTCCTATCCAGGTCCCCTCCCCCTGCATGGTCAAATCCTCCTCTTCCATCTCCCTTGCCAATCGTTCCGTCTCTTCAGCCATCGCCTTTGCCTTTGCCTCGAGTTGCCGCTGCTGTTCCGCGTAGGATGCAAGTCTGGCCCTCTTCTCTGCTCGGCACTGCTCCGCCTTCTGCAGGCGCTCCATCTCCTGCTGTTTCGCCCTCTGCTGCCGCTCGGCCTCCTCTGCCTCCTTCTGCGCTTCCTCCTTTTGCAGGCGCTCCATCTCCTGCTGTTTCGCCCTCTGCTGCCGCTCGGCCTCCTCTGCCTCCTTCTTCTGCGCTTCCTCCTTCTGCAGGCGCTCCATCTCCTGCTGTTTCGCCCTCTGCTGCCGCTCGGCCTCCTCTGCCTCCTTCTTCTGCGCTTCCTCCTTCTGCAGGCGCTCCATCTCCTGCTGTTTCGCCCGCTGCTGCCGCTCGGCCTCCTCTGCCTCCTTCTTCTGCGCCTCCTCCATCTGCAGGCGCTCCATCTCCTCCTGTTTCGCCCGCTGCTGCCGCTCGGCCTCCTCTGCCTCCTTCTTCTGCGTCTCCTCCTTTTGCAGGCGGTCCAATTCCTGCTGTTTCGCCCTCTAACGCCGCTCTACCTCCTCTGCCTCCTTCCTCTGCCTCTCCTCCTCCTGCAGGCGCGCCATCTCCTGCTGTTTCTCCCTCTCCTGCCTCTTGGCCTCCTCTGCATCTTTCCGCGCGCCTCCTCCTTCTGCAGGCGCGCCATCTCCTACTGTTTCTCCCTCTCCACCCGCTCTGCTTCCTCTGCCTCCTTCCTCTGCGCATCCTCCTTCTGTCGCCGATCTCCCTCCGTTGCCTTCCTACCCTGCTCCTCCTTTTGCCGCCGCTTTGCGTCCAATCTCAGAACCACTGACAGCCGCTTTTCCACCTCACTTACATCCCCTCCTTCCACCCCTTCATCCCCGTCTTCATCTCCTTCACAGCCTCCATCACTTCCTTCATTCCCGCCTCCACCTCCTTCTGCCGTCGCTCTTCCTCCTGATGTTTGTTCTTCCTCTGCCGCTCTGTGGCCTCTACATCCTTCCTCTTCACCTCCTCCTCCTTCCGCCATTGCTCGTCCAGTTGTTTCTTCTTCTGTCTCTCCTCGTCGTCCGCCACTTGTTTCCTCTTCGCGTCCTGCTGTTGTCGACGCTCCGCGTCCACTTGCCTCTCCTTCTTCTGCCGCTCGGATTCTTCTCGCAAAACCGCGCTCAGCCTCCCCACAATCTGGTTTACCATCCCATCCTTCATCTCCTTCACTTCTGCCTTCATCTCCTTCATCATCGCCTCCTTCATCTCCTTCATTCCCTCTCTCATCTCCTTCTGCCGACGCGCTTCCTCCTGCTGTTGTTCCTTCTTCCGTCTCTCTGCGGCGTCTGCTTCCTTCCTCGTAGCCTTCTGCCTCCGCTCCTCGTCCTGCAGTCTATCCCTGTTCCGCCGCTCAGAGTCTTCTCTCAGAATCTCTCTCAACCTCTCTTCCACCCCCTTTAACGTGCCCTCCGCCATCCCCCCTCCCGACTGGCGAACCTGATCACTCACCCTTACGATACTCTCCTGCAAGTTGGAGAGTCTCGTGTCCACCTGCTCGCGAAACCTGGCCGTCGTTTCAGCTTGGCGCCGCTGTTCCTCGTTTCCATGGCGGACTTCTTCCAGGTTGGCCAGGGCGTCGCGGCAATAATGGACGGTCAGATCGGCCACGTCGCGACTGATGCTGCTGTTGCGGGCCGCCAAGTTGCAGAACGTCTGCGTCACCATTCGGGCTAAGAGCGTCAGACGACGCGTTACCTCTGCCGGGCTTATGTCCCAGCTTTCGGCCTCGACGAACCTGTCACCTTGTTCGACCAGGACTGTACTCGTCCGATGCAGCATCCGCCGTATTGCCGTCTCTGCCTCGACCCACTCTACCTGCCAAAACACTTCTGCCACCCCGCCTTGGTCGAGATTCCTCTCCACTGCTCTCTGGTGAAGGGTGGGCCGCCTCTGCCTATTGAGATCCACTATATCCCTAGGCGCCCCATCGTCTGCCACCCTCCATGGCCCCTCTACCCCGGTTCCTGGTCCCCGCGTCGGACTTCCTCCCAAAAATATCCGGACTGCCGGATGTACCGTATCCTCCTCATTCTGCTCCTCTTCTGTTTCCAGCGCATCTCCCTCGTAGTGCCCCACTCCAGCCTCCGGGACGACACGAACCTCCTCCATAGTATTTTGACGCCCTGTCTCTGCCATGCTCTGCGTCTCTCGGTATGCGAATACCTGCGATGATGCCTCCTCGTTATGCTGCCCCTCTTCCTCTGCGATGATGTGCCCCTCAGCACCCGCCGTCTCCCGTCCCTCTGTCTGTACCATTTTATTCCCATTTGAACCGTCCTCTCCATCTGGCTTCCTACGTGCGTCTGCCTCAGCCTGCTTTCTGCTCCTCGGCCTCTGCCATCTTCTGCGCCTCACCCTCCGCCTTCTGCCGCGCCTCTACAACAGCCTTCTTCCGCGCTTCTGCCCGAGCCAGTTGTAGTGCCTCTTCCACAGCCTGTTTCTGCTCCTCTGCCTCCGCCTTCTGCCACGCCGCTGCTTCTGCCTTATTCCGAGCCTCTCCTTCCTTATGTGCGTCTGCCTCCTCCATATGCAGTGCCGCTGCCTTATCATTCTGCCTCGCCGCTGCCTCTGATTCCTTCTGCGCCTCTGCCTCAACCATGTTCGGCGCCGCACCCTCCTCCTTCTGCAGCGCCGCTGCCTCTGATGCCTTCTGCGCCTCTGCCTCAACCATCTTCGGCGCCGCACCCTCCTCCTTCTGCAGCGCCGCTGCCTTTGATGCCTTCTGCGCCTCTGCCTCAACCATCTTTGGCGCCGCACCCTCCTCCTTCTGCAGCGCCGCTGCCTCTGATGCCTTCTGCGCCTCTGCCTCAACCATCTTCGGCGCCGCACCCTCCTCCTTCTGCAGCGCCGCTGCCTCTGATGCCTTCTGCGCCTCTGCCTCAACCATCTTCGGCGCCGCACCCTCCTCCTTCTGCTGCGCCGCTGCCTCTGATTCCTTCTGCGCCTCTGCCTCAACCATCCTGGGCGCCGCACCCTCATCCTTCTGCTGCGCTGCTGCCGCTGATTTCTTATGTGCGTCTGCCTCATCATTCTGCTGCGCCGCTGCCTCATCCTTCTGGCTCGCCATTGCCTCTGATTCCTTCTGCGCCACTGCCTCCACTACCTGCAGCTCGACTGCCTCCGACGTCAGCTCTGCTGCTGCACCCGCTTCTTTACGCGCGACTGCCTCCGCACCCTTGACCGCCTCTGCACCCACCTTCTGCTGCGCCGCAGACTCTGCTTCCTTTGGTGCCCCGTCCTCTGCCGTAAGTGCCGCCTCTGCATCGACGAACCGATGGGCCGCATCCTCTACATTCTGGTGCGCCTCTACCTCCACCATCTTATGAGCCTTAGCACCCGCGTTGCTCTCCTCCTTCTTTTTCGCCTCTCCCGAATTCTCTGGCACGTCGACGTCCCCTCTCCAAGCCTCTTCAGCCGCCTTCCACTTTACGCTGGGCAAGCGAACTTTCACGTATCCCCTATCCTCCTCGATATGCTGCCGCACATTGCTGGCGAGCTCCTCTCCTGCCTCTCCCACGTGTGCCCTTGCAGCGGCTCGTGCCCCACACTCCCATGCTTCACGTATGTCTCCAGTTCCCGGGAAAGAGACGGTAGGATCGGTGTCGCCATCACTGCGCCATTGCATCTCTTCAGCCCGTCTCCTCTTGGCTTCTGCTTCGCCCACCCGCTTATCATCAGCCGCCTTCCTCCACTGCTCCTCTGCCTGTTCGACCTGACTTGGCAGCTGTGGATCTTCTACACCCTCCTCGCCTTCATTTGCTACACTTGCCAAGTCGGTCTCCGTCCGTGCTTCGCGTTCCGGCGGCCTCCTAACCCGATCAGCAAACCTGAGCTGCCTAACTACAGACCTAACACGCTCGTCCGCACGGGCTGACCTTGATGTCGGGCCACTCAGTAGTGCACCCCCTGGTGCAGGTCGGCGGGAATATGAAATTTCCCCTACTCTTGGATTTGCGTCCCGGTTTGCGGCAGGTACGTCTCTCTGTCCCTCTACCGCTTCGGATCTGTTATGTGCCGCCGGCTCCATGGTATTCCCGGACCGTTCCGGTGCGCTCTCTACCACTCGAGCCTCATGGTTCGTCATGACTGCATCCGGGGCGGGACTGAGCTGGACTCCTTGCAGGTCGAAGAAGGCCCTGCAGGTCGACTCCAGCATACTCCGAATTTCTTTCGCGCTGTTCCCTAAGGCCATCATCAGCTCTACAGTTTGAATCGCCATGACATCCCCCCATTTGTCCAGCAACTTGCTGAACAGATGGGTAACGTGCAGCCCGGAACCCACTTGCCTCTGTCCCTGAACCTTGTTGATCTGCAACATTTGCGTGAAAAGGTGGTTGTTAGACACTCCCGTAACTTTTTACAAGCTTAATATGATACAACGCTTAAATCATAAAAATAGAGGCTCCTTACCCTGCCTTCCTCCAGAATCAGATCATCTAGGCGAGCCCTCAAATCTTTCTGCACCGCTTCGGCGTGGCTGCCAGAGACCCTGCGACCTCGGCTGTATTCCACATCTAGTTGTCGAATAAGCCAGCTGCAGGGCGAGGGGGTCGCAAATAATCAATAACATGCGTCCATACAAACCGCACATCTGATTAAGGAGTGATACTTACTCGAACACCTCCTTGGCATGGTCGCTGTGGCGATGGGTTGGGATTGCAGATTCAGGGTCGAAGTGTAGCACACGCGTACGGTACTCTCCGCGGGGATGTGCTAACAAATCTTGCGGGTTCATCAGCACCATGAGACTGATCGCCGTCGAGTGAACAGCAGGGACTCTGCGGTACATCGAAGTTTGGATTAGCAAGATAAGCTGGTGTTATCGACAGACGTTGCGGATCCATGTCAGGAAACTCACTCTGATATCATGGGTATTAAAACCATCTGGTAGTCCAACAGCGACCGATGTTCGCTGCCACAACTGGGGACACGCGGGACGACAGACCTCAAACGCCGATGCTCGGTAGGAGCCAGAATCTTTATGTCCCTGCGAACGCGAGGATCCCCAATCTTGTCCTTGGCAACCTCCCTGCATCCAAGCCGACATGTCGCAGAGGTAAGAAGATTGCAGGTGCTTGTCTAAAAAAACAAGGGTTCAACGTGCCGATGAAGTCGGCGTGCGTTACAAACCGCGCTTGGATACATACACAAGGCCGAAAAGTAACAACGCCTCGTTCCACTCTTCCTGACGAGCGATTAACCTTTCATAAGACTCCCGCCCTAGTCGTACAGACAATCCGCAGCCGCTTGTGATTAGCTGGGACGACATCGCGTAAGTATGCCAGAAGATGCCAGGTAGCTACACGGTTACTACCATACACTGTCCGCCTGCAGGATTTGAGGCCGAAACTAGAATGAGAGGGAAGCTTGTGAGGCTAGTTGTGGAACCTAGACTCAGATTGGAATGGCGAGAATGACGTTGAGCTCTCGTCCTCACAGAAGGTTGTGCTCTCGTCCTCACAGAAGGTGGGAAAGGCTTTGCTACAAACGCCAGGCGTAGTAAGAATTTTCTGCCCCCTAAATCAAAATATTAGGCTTCTCACCGTTTCCCTTCGAACATCTGCGAACTACTCTTTGCATCCTTCTGCAATGATTGGCCTATTTGTCGCCAGATTGTTCTCCTAAATGTTTTACTTCAGTTGCTGGTTGGTTGATTGCCAACCTTATATGCCATGTTAGCATATTGCATGTTCTGCGGTGCATTGCATGGTCTTAGCTTTGCCTCGACCTAGTACGAAATGCTGACGGGCAGCCCCTAAAAAAAAGAAATGGTGTCCTGTGACAGGTTCATGACAGGTTGCCTCGTATAACTATCCCATCCGCATGGTTCCCTCCGCAACGTCGAAATAGAGCAGTCTCTGCGACCTGTCACACGTGTCAGAAACCGAATGACACCCTATATCCGAGAGTACCGCTATAGGGGTACTCGCGTAGCACGTATAGTACTAGTTTTTGTAACCCATAAAACAAACACAAGCATGAACTTTGCATGATTAGCACACCCAATTCTAAAACGGATAATCCTATAAGTGTGAGATGAGTGCCCTATCATTAGCACCCGTATAACAGTGGCATTTAAATACAAAACAAATGTTGTACATTTCACCAAAGTTATCTGCTCCCGCCTGCAGAGAAGAGCATGAAAAACATACTAAACGTCTACGAAATGACATGAATTTCAGGTGGGGGTCTTAAATATGTGTGGTGAGAGTCCCATATAAAAATCGGGTCATTTGCCCAAGGGGAATTGGGTGGTTTCAACCCTAAACCTGATTCCAGGCAATTCTGCACAGAATTCTGCAGACTGCTGCACAACAAGGCTTAAAAACCATATCAAAGCTTGGGAAAATGAGATGAATTTCAGATGGGCGTCTGGAATATGTGTGGTGAGAGTTCCCTATCAAAATCAGCTCATTTGATCACGGAGAAGTGGGTGATTTCAATCGCAACCTGATTCCAGGCAATTCTGCACAGAAGTACTGCAGACTGCTGCACAACAAGGCTTAAAAACCATATGCAACCTTGGGCAAATAAGATGAATTTCTGAGGGGAGTCTGGAATATGTGTGATGAGAGTTCTCTATCAAAATCAGCTCATTTTCCCAGGGATAGGTGGGCGATTTCAGTTGCAACCCGATTCAAGGAAATTCTGCACAGAATTCTGCAGACGGCTGCACAACAAGGCTTGAAAACCATATCAAACCTTGGGAAAATGAGATGAATTTCAGGTGGGTGTCTGGAATATGAGTGTTGAGAGTCCCCTATAAATATCAGCTCATTTGATCAAGGAGAAGTGGGTGATTTCAATTGCAACCTGATTCCAGGCAATTCTGCACAGAATTCTGCAGACTGCTGCACAACAAGGCTTAAAAACCATATCCAACCTTGGGCAAATAAGATGAATTTCTGAGGGGAGTCTGTAATATGTGTGATGAGAGTTCTCTATAAAAAATCCGCTCATTTTCCCAGGGATAGGTGGGCGATTTCAGTTGCAACCTGATTCAAGGAAATTCTGCACAAAATTCTGCAGAATGCTGCACAACAAGGTTTGAAAACCATATCAAACCTTAGGAAAATGAGATGCCTTTCAGGTGGGGGTCTGGACTATGTGTGGTAAGAGTCCCCTATTAAAATCAGCTCATTTGATCAAGGAGAAGTGGGTGATTTCAATTGCAACCTGATTCCAGGCAATTCTGCACAGAATTCTGCAGACTGCTGCACAACAAGGCTTAAAAACCATATCCAACCGTAGGTAAATATAATGAATTTCTGAGTGGAGTCTGGAATATGTGTGGTGCGAGTCCCCTATAAAAATCAGCTCATTTTCCCAGGGATAGGTGGGTGATTTTAGTTGCAACCTGATTCAACAGAATTCTGCACAGAATTCTGCAGACTGCAGCACAACAAGGTTTGAAAACCATATCAAACCTTGGGAAAATGAGGTGAATTTCAGGTGGGGGTCTGGAATATGTGTCTTAGGAGTCCCCTATAAAAATCAGCTCATTTGATCTAGGAGAATTGGGTGATTTCAATTGCAACCTGATTCCAGGCAATTCTGCACATAATTCTGCAGACTGCTGCACAACAAGGCTTAAACTCCATATCCAACCTTTGGCAAATACGATGAATTTCTGAGGGGAGTCTTGAATATGTGTGATGAGAGTTCTCTATAAAAATCAGCTCATTTTCCCAGGGATAGGTGGGTGATTTCAGTTGCAACCTGATTCAAGGCAATTCTGCACAGAATTCTGCAGACTGCTGCACAACAAGGCTTGAAAACCATATCAAACCTTGGGAAAATGAGATGCATTTCAGATGGGGGTCTGGAATATGTGTGGTGAGAGTCCCCTAAAAAAATCAGCTCATTTGATCTAGGATAATTGGGTGATTTCAATTGCAACCTGATTCCAGGCAATTCTGCACACAATTCTGCAGACTGCTGCACAACAAGGCTTAAAAACCATATCCAACCGTGGGTAAATATAATGAATTTCTGAGGAGAGTCTGGAATATGTGTGGTGCGAGTCCCCTATAAACATCAGCTCATTTGCCCAGGGATAGGTGGGTGATTTCAGTTGCAACCTGATTCAAAGCAATTCTGCACAGAATTCTGCAGACTGCTGCACAACAAGGCTTGAAAACCATATCAAACCTTGGGAAAATGAGATGAATTTCAGGTGTGGGTCTGGAATATGTGTGGTGAAAGTCCCCTAAAAAAATCAGCTCATTTGATCTAGGAGAATTGGGTGATTTCAATTGCAACCTGATTCCAGGCAATTCTGCACAGAATTCTGCAGACTGCTGCACAACAAGGCTTAAAAACCATATCCAACCGTGGGTAAATAAGATGAATTTCTGAGGGGAGTCTGGAATATGTGTGGTGCGAGTCCCCTATAAAAATCAGCTCATTTGCCCAGGGATAGGTGGGTGAGTTCAGTTGCAACCTGATTCAACAGAATTCTGCACAGAATTCTACAGACTGCAGCACAACAAGGCTTGAAAACCATATCAAACCTTAGGAAAATGAGATGCATTTCAGGTGGGGGTCTGGAATATGTGTGGTAAGAGTCCCCTATTGAAATCAGCTCATTTGATCAAGGAGAAGTGGGTGATTTCAATTGCAACCTGATTCCAGGCAATTCTGCACAGAATTCTGCAGACTGCTGCACAACAAGGCTTAAAATCCATATCCAATCTTGGGCAAATAAGATGAATTTCTGAGGGGAGTCTGGAATATGTGTGATGAGAGTTCTCTATAAATATCAGCTCATTTGCCCACGGATAGATGGGTGATTTCAGTTGCAACCTGATTCAAGGCAATTCTGCACAGAATTCTGCAGACTGCTGCACAACAAGGCTTGAAAACCATATCAAACCTTGAGAAAATGAGATGAATTTCAGGTGGGGGTCTGGAATATGTGTCTTGAGAGTCCCCTTTAAAAATCAGCTCATTTGATCAAGGAGAACTGGGTGATTTCAATTACAACCTGATTCCAGGCACTTCTGCACAGAATTCTGCAGACTGCTGCACAACAAGGCTTAAAAACCATATCCAACCGTGGGCAAATACGATGAATTTCTGAGGGGAGTCTGTAATATGTGTGGTGAGATTCCCCTATAAAAATCAGCTCGTTTTCCCAGGGATAGAAGGGTGATTGTAGTTGCAACCTGATTCAACGGAATTCTGCACAGAATTCTGCAGACTGCAGCACAACAAGGCTTGAAAACCAAATCAAACCTTGGGCAAATGAGGTGAATTTCAGGTGGGTGTCTGGAATATGTGTGTTAAGAGTCCCCTAAAAAAATCAGCTCATTTGAT